GGACCTAGACAATGTGGACCTTACATAAGCGACGTCTGCATTATATCTGGTAGCGTCCGAATAACTTTTTCCATTTGATCTTGCGAAGTGTTTGCAGGCTGATCAGTCGTAGTTTCTAAGTGGAGATTTTTCAAGTTTTCCTGTTATTTGAAATCACAATGACCAAAATGCTTGCCATTGTGCTCAGCCGTAATTACGGTCGAAAGCTTGAGGCAAAAAGTATAGAATCATTGATCCCAAACGCTGTAAGTTCTTCTTCCTTTTTGCTCCATTAATCAAGACACCTTGACGATGTCTCCGGCTGCGCAAGTTTCCYTGCGTTTCTTGTTTGGATTCAATTTGTTGATCTTTTTACATCTCTGTGATGGAGGTTTCCTTTTCGCTCTTGTTACGCGAGAAAGCGGCGCCCATATTTTGCATATCACGATGTTTTGGTCGAGAACGAAGATGGCAACAAAGGCAACATAAAATTAGTGCCGCTACAACGAAGATCAAAACACCAAGAAAAATTACTATTATTGAAATAGAAGACATGACATGTGCTCTTTAAATTATCGCACTAGTTCAGATGCCTTATACGACCCAAACTCTCTATACTGCTTAAGGACCGAACCACACGTCTAGTAAATTAACACGAGAGGGGGATGTCCATCCGATTGGCCAGATCGCGTAATTACTTCCGGGATGATTCTGATTGGCTGGAATTCTCTGACGTCAGMAGAGGCAACAATGTTATTATTTTGATCATTAGCTATTGCTTCGGGGCGTTTACTTTAAACGTGCGTTTTTGATATTTAATTAGTTAAACAAATCTAAAAAGTTGCGATAAAATGCCTCGCGGAACCTCTTTTAGGAAATGAAGAGCAAAACATCAGTGATTTTTGTTTAAGTTGGCCGATGTGATTTCGCTAAATGCGGTGCGTTCGGCACGCAAATCAAACGCATTTGACGCGAATGTCAACACACGTATACATATAGGGTGCGCTGTTTATCAGTAGGGACGGCGTGAGCTCACGCAAACTCACACTAAGCTTATGAAAACAGACGAATKTGTTTTAATTTATATCAGACCTCGAAGAATATTGATCTTAAATCGAGATATTGAGCATTTTTAATAGGTCTGATCTGAATGACATAAACACRAACAGCGTGAAAATAAAACGAAAGATAGAATAACCAAAAGGGGCTTTGAGGCTACGAAAACAGATTTGGTTTGAAGAAGAGAATAAGGTATATGAATAAAAAGTACTGAATTTTGATCTGAATCAAGATAGCGATCAGCATTTTAATCAGCCATATTTGAAAAAACGCAAGCAAAGCGGTTAGTGTTCATACAAACTAATTTAATTAGTGTATTTAGTTGGGCAGATGTGACGACACTTAATAAAAAGCACAGAGAGTGAGGGAATTGAAGAGAAAAAAAATAATGGCACTCTTCTAATCAATCAATATTAATGATGTATATGAGTTATATAACGGCAAAGGGAAGATGAAAGATGGTTGATATGAGAGACCTCAATATAGAACTCTTTCAAAAAGCGTTGAATAGTGAATATTGCATATTGTATTCCAGCGAAAGATGCATTAATTGCGCATTACAAAATGAAAATTCTAAAACTAATTGCTTTCCATAGTCACTATGAAACAGTGAAAACCTTTTAGTTTAGKGCCAATTTGACAACTAGTAATGCACATTGGTATCAAAATACGCCATGCAGTGAGCATTCAGTGGTCAGAGTTTTTTTTTTTTCAAAAATGTTGCCGGACCACAGCGAATGGCAGYTGTTGATGAACGATGATCGCACCGACGATCGCATCAAAAAAACGAGCGATTGTGTAAACATGTCAATCACTGTCAGTCATGTSAATGACATTATCTATAAATTTCTACAAATACACCTTCTTTAGGGAAGGTTTCTATTCAAAAATTTGAACATTTTAGTAAGGAAGGAAGCATCAATACCGATAAAAAGGAACGACAGCTTGAATGACTTCYTTTGTCTTAAATGTATTCGTTCCCCACTCGACTACAATCTCTAGATCTTTGCATGTCATAGTTCTTTCAAAATCAGAAATTTCAATTCAGTATACTTGAAAATAGGGATGTGGATATTTTGAAAGAAAAAACGTGGACATGCAGAGAGAATTTATTATCAATTAAGAAAACACTGTCAAAATTTAACACTTAATGCGAATTAATTTTGTCCTTTTGTCCGTTACGTGTCAGGTGGACAAAGTTATTTAGTGKCGGTAAGGGTTTAAAGTCCACAAAGTTGGCTTCGTCATCTATCGGCAATCGATCTATGAATTCGATTTGATGATATCGATTTATAAAAACCGCTCTAAATTTTAGGTCAAATCTATATTTTTTTTTTTTGTAAAAAAATACTAGTTCATGACAAAGATTGATTGATATCGTAAACAAACTAGTATCCTAACCATCACGTTTAGTAGAGGATCAATGGAATTGCAGTAATAAACGAAATTCAATGCTTCTGGATGAAGTTAACAAATTAACATTGAGTTATCTTATCGACAAGCGCAATGACGTCATCAAGAATATAATGACGTACTCAAAATAACAAACAAATGGTCATATTTTCAAATTAATCTAATAAAATAACAGAAAGCAAGTGAATTACTAATCAAATCGAGYGAGGAGGAAAAACAGAACACTATTTACAGGAATACAACTAAGAAATGTAAAGAAATCCGTAACAAATCTAGAGAGCTAATATCAACCGGTATACAATTACGGGCGTGGTTTAGATTTTTCGGCTCATGCGGAAAATGAGCTGAATTCAATAGTATTATCTTCAAAATCAGTTTCCATCCGTCAGYTTAAGAGCAAAGAAGAAACATTCAAATAATTATTTTGCCGATTACGATGTATCTTTGTTTTCAAAGGGATGCTGCAGTGGTTGAAATTAAATGGAAATTGATCAAATGGTTGAATGGGAGGTTGTTTGTCTGCTTTACCACTGCCGCAACCGTGCATACGTGCTTTTCATTCGGAACAATCGTTATTTTATCGATCCTTTTTAACTGTTAAAAACGTAATCATGACCACTCTAAGAATTAGACTTCCTGCTGTTAAAGTGCAATAAATAATTTCAATCCCCCCAGGTGAAACTACCACCTCGAACGTGACTAAATCACTGGCGAAATCTTTATTATGAAAGTGTTTATAGAACGTTCTCAAGGGGAACTCGTTTAAGTTTAAGATCCCTGAAGTGATCGTGAAGTTTATCATTTTTATAGCCACTTTGATAGCAATTGTGGATTGCCAATATCTCTCTATTACAAAAATAGGGACATTGCAACTTTGTTTTCAATAACACTAGCTTAAATTTGGAATAAAAGGAGCTGACGATTTTCAGGGAAAACTAACTCCCCAATCCAAGGTTGTGCGGTGTGTCGGCCATAGTWTATTTACCGAAACGTGAGACAACTTTTGTGTCATTTCTTAATTTTTGTGATTGATAAATGAGTAAGGAAGTRAGCAAGTTGTCAGCCGCCCAGGCATCTGTGCCGCGGACTCAGTTCTTTGGACAATTGTCGGAAAATGCAGCACTGCAGGTAATCCAAGAACGTCATGCTAAAAAAAAAAACATCGTAGCAAGCACAACAGGACAGATCTCCAAAAAAGTTAGCCTCATTTGCAGACGTTTTTAGTATCGGTCATAAATTCCCTCTCCACTAACAGGGAGTTTATGACCGATACTAATAACGTCTGCAAAGGAGGCTACAAAAAAGTGCAGTAAGTTGAAAATTTTCATTCTCTAGACAAGAAAGCGGCTTATTTTGAATTATCTTTATTTAGCGACTTGTTTTGACGAAGAGAGGGAGATAAATATCCCATGATACATTGCACACCGACTCAAAATGGCGGGCTTTTGCGATATGGACTATGAACCACAAGGGAGGCACTCTTTCATCCGCCTTATATTGTCGCATTAAAATGACTTTTACAAGGAGAAGCAATAAAATTTTTGATTGTTCTTAGTAACATTTCTGTAGTGGTCGGCCATTCTATTTAAGGTTGTAGAACTGGTACTAAGTAGAACGTAAGTAATCCCACCAAGTCAGCCACGATCTGGAGGAACGAGTCAGTCGCACAGCGTCATTAGATTGGTACAGTGCACTTAAAAAATAGCCTCCGTAGCAGACGTTCTTAGCGGTTCGAACGTCTGCTACGAAGGCTACTTAAAAAATTCTTCTTTTAAACCATTTAGAGTCCTGTCTATAAGTCGAAATTTCAGATCATTAACATTAATAACCCAGTATATATACTTTATCATTGCTCTAAGCATGAGAAATGATTCATTGGAAAAAGCAGCTTTTTTCAAGAACTGAACTCAATACTAGACAGAATGACCAAGTCCTAGTCRAATTAAGTAGACTTTTACAACCAATTGTCTAGACATCTTAAAAATAATACGCTTAAGATTATAAATCTAGTAAAAGTAGATTTGTAACGGGATTTCATGATATCGTCTATCGGCCTGAAGCCTTTGTTTATTTATTCTAAATAGCTGGCGCCGTGATCGTATCATAATTGTTGCTTCTTGCTTCATTCTGTACAAGGAAAACTTGCAATGTTACAATAGTCCATATCGAAACCCGCGGAAGGCCTTGTGACGCAGTGCATTTTGGGATTGATAAATGAGTAAACAAGTGAAAAACGATGTCAGTGCTCCAGTTGTCTGTAACGTAGACTCAGTTTTCGAAAAACATTGGGAAATATTGATAAGGAGATACAGCAAGAAAAACCTCCAAAAAATGTACAGTTAATCAAGAATGTCCATTTACTAGGCAAATCAAGCAAAAATGAAAAGAAACATATTTTGTCTGTGGAAAAATCGAAACTAATTAGTGTTTTTACGATTTTAGCGGAGATATATATCCCATGATACATTGCAAAACCATTCAAAATGGCGGGCTTGTGATATGGACTATACCATGTCCAAGAGTTTAAAAGATAAGAAGTATACACAACATCCAAATGAAAGTCATATTCGTTCTGATGTGAATCTATTTACAAATTTAATTATCTTCCTAAGATAGCGATACATTTTCGTGCACAATCTCAAAAGAAGTAACCGCGCATGCCTAATTTCTATTGCTCTAGTGCCTAATATGGTAGTACAATCATTTACTTGCAAATGCCCAAATAAGGAACATGCATAATTTTCAATTATATTGTCCAAAATAATGCCTAATAGGGTGATGCATGGATTCTGATACAAAGACTAAATAAGGAACATGCGCAATTTACAATTATATTGTCCTAGTGCCTAATATGGTAACATGTACATGACTAAATAAGGAACATGCCTAACTTACATTGCTCTAGCCCTAATATAATATATTTCGTTAGATATCTAAATATGGACATTTAAAATTAGCCAATCAAATATGATTTTATATTAATTTCAAGTATAATTAGCCAATCAGCTGTTTATATATATCATAGTTTATCTACTTTTAAAGGCGACGGAGTTCTTAGTATAGCCACAGCATCGTTGTAACCGGTCCGGAATCCTTGTTCCATGTCTTGCAGGCTTCCCTCAAGACTGTGTGTAGTTATAGCATGGGCGTGGTGGGCTTGAACAAGCCGCTCTAGCCGTGAGATGATCTCGTAGTCTGGTACCGAGAGGACGTTCACATCGAGGCCGAGCAAACGCGCAAGCACTTGTCGGAAATCGAGAAGCTGTGAGAAACGAAAACATATTTTGTAAATGTTGTGGTTTCACCATATATTTTAGCGTTTATGAATTAAGTTAGTTGCTCTTTTGATAAAACTCTTAGGATGTAGTGGGGTATATTCGAAGGACTTTTCAGTAATATGTTARAATCAAAAACAATAACAGCACGATCCATCACTGAACCACGTCAAAAAGAACACGTGCGTTTTATACAATATGAAACTCTAAATTAGCTGAAACGAATCCYTGCCGAAGCCTTTTTATTACTAAAAAACATCACATAACGATATAATTCGTAATTTTCTAACCTGTTTTTCACGAATCCTCGATTCCTCCAAAGCAAGTTTTGTTGTATTTAGCTCGCTCTGTATCTGCTGTAAATTCGACTTGGAAAGTGCTTTAGACTCCCGCGCTTCCGACTCCCTTGCGTCCAGTTCTGTTTTTACATCTACTAAATGTTCTTTTGTTTTTTGTTTACTCTTTGCGAGCTTATTGACCACTTGCTCAAGGTTCTCAATGGTCCTTTCTTGCTCGAGTGTTCTTGACTGAAGAGAAAAACAGGAAAGCCACGATGAGAAACACTTTCAAAAGGATGAATTGAAGGAGAAGCTTAAAATTGTTATTAGTCTGAATTAATTAAAGAAAAATAGCTACAAGACTATATTATAGGTATCTATTCTTGATGACCATTTAAATAACGAAACTACCTACTATTATCTCCTATTAAGATGAAACGCAAATACACTTTCACAGAGAAAACTCCAAATTCTCAATTATTTTCACTGAAGTGTTTTCTTGCAATCACTTAGCCTCATAATTTAATTATTCTCTTTTAAATCTGTTTTTATAGCATCCTAGAAGTGTTTAGAATTTGTCTAAGGGTGAAGTACTTAGCTTTTAAAGCTACATTATAAAAATATTTACTTTTCCCTTAGTTATGACGTCATACGATTATGTTCAGCGTATTGGACAACGGAATTGAAAAAAGTTCAAAATGAAGTTATATGTTTTTGAGTCGTGCTGTGTTAGTCATCTTACACTTAAGCTTCTTCGAGCTCAGATAATGCTTAAAATCGTCCTCCGCAAGTTTTTTATCAAAACATCCGCCATCTTGATAGTTTCATCAATACCATGATGCATTGCGCGTAAATAACATGACGTCATGTAGGGGAAACGACCACAAGCCAATAAGGTAAACTTTGGCATTAAAATATGAATATTTGACAGTAAAAGGGCCCCGCATGCTAACCAATTAATAAACCAATTTTAATTAAAATAAGCTATACGCAAAAAAATTACCTTGAGCTCGCTGAGTTCAAGAAGTTTCGCTTTCAAATGAACAACCTCTTGCTTGTAATCCACGAGTTCTCTTTGTAATTTCTCGTTATGTTTTGTTATTTTCTTGTATTTAATTGAGTTCTCGTCTCTCTCGACCTCAACTCTTCCCTTATCCCGCAACAGTTCTTCAAGACTGTCTACTTTCTTTTTTAGTAAGCCTTGATGGAGGTCTTTGCTCTCTATTTGCTGCTTCGCCCACTTCAATCGTCTTTGTAGGTTGTAGATAGTTGTTTTACGGTCATCTAAAGCGTCCGTCTAGGCAGGGGCAAGTAAATAAGAGAAATTAGAAAATCTTTGAACCTAGAGGACTATCATCAACCGGCATTCAATGCGGTCGTGTTGTAGATTATTCATGCGCAGAAAATGAGTAAAATCGAAAACAAAAGCCAGTTGGTGTAAATGTAGTACCATTTTACTAGCAAGACATGCTGGAACATTACAAAGCACTCAAAATACAAAGTTAGACGAGTTCAGTCCTGTTTTATCACACAGAACGCCAACAACAGTGCATAGAAACCTACCTCTAGTTTGACGAGCTGTCCAGCCCTCGCGACGAGAGCCTCTCCATTCACATCAAACCCTACATCGCTGGCAATTTCGTCAAGCTTCATTGTCACCGCTAATTTCTCACAGAAGGCTACAAACTTGAGAAACAAAGAAATGACCATTAGTGAGGATAATTTGCACAAAAAGTGTGTTGCAGCTGTGTTGCGTTATCCACTTATCGTTCAAAACAGACGAAATAGCGAAATAAACAATAGCAAAATACTGGCRAAATGGATAAAATAGCGAAATAGCGAAACGGACAAATTAGCGAAATAGACTCTTATGAATGATAACTTCATATTGTTCGCGTTTAACCTTTTTAGTTAACTTAACTTTGCGTTAACTAATTGTAAATACCTTTCTTTTGTCTTCTTTTAAGTTATCTCTCTCAACATCCGACGATAAAAGTTCTCCTTCAAGTCCTGAAACTCTCTCCTGTGCTTCTTTAAGCTGAGTTTCAGCTTGCGTCGCACGCTTCAGCGTTGTTCTGTGAAGACTTCGTTGACTGTCAAGCTCATCTGATAGATTCTTGACTTGAGTGCACATTGACTCAGACGTCTGCAAAAAAGGAAATATTTTTCGTTAATTTTGTCATTTTTACATACAAACTGTGATTACAATTGCTGCTACAGTTAAAGAGAAGATCTGTTGAGGATAAATCGAGGATATTACATATTCGCGCAATTTATCAGCCAATCAGTGTGAGTGATGTTGAAAAAATAGAGGATATTACATGGGCACGGGCATGGATTTTATCATAGAAGTGAGTGAAGCGTGAAGGCAAAGACCTACCGATTTGAGTTCTCTGTGTCTCTTTATAACACTTTCAACCTTTGACAATATCGATGGCTCGCTGTCGTCGACCTCTTCATCAGTTGGAGTGACAATCTGTGCTAATTGACGCTTGAAATCATATAGCTAAAGGGACATAAAACACAAATCATTATATTCAACTCCTGTATGAAAGTTGATTCGTGTATATTTAGTGTGTCAGCGCGCTTTTCTTGAATTAAGAACAGAATTATGACTTGAGCAGAACGTTAAAGGCGATGGTTTGCACGAATCAACCTTCTGACGACAATTCCATGTCATTTTTCAATTACAAATTTTGATTCCAAGTGGAAAACTAGCAGCAATGCATTGCCGGAAGAAAATCTGCGTGAATTGTCAAAAATTCCCAAAGCGGTTCCGTGTAAAATCACGTTATCAATTTCCTCGTGTTCTGTTTTTTTTTTTCCCGTGATCTCTATAGTGTGCAAAAGAGCGCGCACGTCTTTCAATTTTAGTGAAGATAATAATAATTGTACCGGTTCTTTTGACAACATTCATAGATAAACACAATGTAAATGTCCTCACCTTATTTTGAGTTGCTTGTCCTGTGTATTTGCTAGTATTTAATGCTTCTTCCATGSCCTTAATTCTAAGTAGAAATTAAATTATATTATTGATCACGAAGACGCTGAAAATAGCATGAATGACAGCAAAAGGCAGATGGTAGAAAGGAACGAAATGAAATGGAGAAATAGAAACCTAGAAATCACTTCAAAATGAGACAGAAAACTCCAAGACATCTTGAAAGTCAAGATACTTCAAGCAATATCAATACAAAGAACAGAAACAGCACCACAAAACAAAACAACTTGTTTACCTTGATTCTCGTTCCTCCAAGTTCTTGTTCATGTCTCCCCATGCATCTTGGCTTGACGTTATTTGCCTYTTCATTCTGTCAATGTCAATCTCCATTTCCCTGACTTTCTGTTGAAGCATATCACGCTCTCTTACCAAAGAGTCCATTTGTTGTTTGTGTTCGCTGGAGGCTTTCTTTTCTTGTCCGACTTCAGACACAAGTCTCATAATAGTTTCCCTAAAAATAAAGGATATTTTAGCTACCTAAGTGTGGTGGATCTAGCAATAGAGTTAGTTTGATCTTTTTCAAGTGGAGCCAGACAACTGCCTGTTTACATGCTTTACATGTAGTACTAATAGTGCAGAAAAGGTGCTAACTGGACTCAACTGCATGGTTCCTCTTTCTCCATGACAGGCAACGGAAGCTGACTCACTTGACACAAGCATRAACATCTGCTTATGTTCACCAGGTTCACAATCAAAATTTTTCAACACAAGCAGAAACAGAAACATATTTAAGAAAATCAACAAAAACGAMCTTCTTCTGCTTGTGACTGTGTCACAGAGTGAAACATCCCTTAACTATAAACAACACAATCACAACACTAATCACATAATGTCTTATGATTGACAAGATATAGCTCCCATACCTGCTTGCTTTAGCCTCCATGTTACTTTCATGGACATTCCTTGTCAGGGAGTTTGCCTTGTCAACAAGACTTGATCTTTCTCTGGCCACCTCGGCAATCTTTGCAATCAGGGTCTCTGTTGCAGCATTAGCTGCATCAGAGGTGTTGAGCTGAAGGGCTTTGATAATCTGATGACGTAGCTCTCCATACTGAAAGTAAAAGCAACAAGAAAGTGAGTGACAGATTTTTCCCTGGAAGGATGGAAGGGAGGGAGCACAGATGGATGAACGTGATGGGAGATAAGATAGTGTTTGGAAACCAAGTATGGATGGAAAGTGATTGATTTATAAGACCAAGAAGAGATGGGAAGGATGACAGATGGATGCATATGATGGTGGATGGGAGTGAACGGATGGGAGTATGGATGGAAAGGTGGGATTGATGAAGTAAAAGATAAATGGATGAATGGATGGGAGATAGATGGATTGGATAGTGAATGGGAAAGTGGATGGATGGATGGTAAGGGATGATTGATAAAGACAAACGTGAAGGAAGTAAGGGCAGACGGATGAGGGATTGATGGTGGACAGAAGGGAAAATGAAAGAAGGGATGGAATGAAATGAAAATAAATAAAAGAGAGCTTATAAAAAGAGAATGAATGGATAGGTGATACCTTAGTCTCCCAGTGTGCCCCTCGCTTTGCTGCATCTTCTTCAGCAGAAATGTGGTGTCTTAGAGAAACATCCGACTGCTGTAACTTGTCTTGCAAACTCTGCAGTTCTTTTCGTAGTGACACTATAGTAACATCACTTCTTGATGCTATGTTTTCTCTGTCTTCGGCATCATCTTCTGCTTCACGTACTCGTTGTCTGAGAGAATTCACCAAAGCTTGTAATCTTGCTTCATTCTGTCTTCCACTTTCAATGTCACACTGGTGAGCAAAACATTATTTAATGAAGGTACCTTCACAGAATAACACACATGAATATAGAAATAGTCTCCAAGACTAAAGAGTAAGCTTTCCACCTTTTATATGAAAGCTGCAATCYATACTCAAAGAGAATTTTAAAACAGTCCTGTACTATGGTTAATCTGTGGAGGTTTTCGACTTACCCTAAGTTCCATTATTCTTTGGTCTTTTTCTCCTATACTTTGCTGGAGTTCTCTTTGCTGAATGAAAAGAAAAACATCAATTTACTTGTCATRTACATACCGAATTATTCACCAGTTCAAAGATGGAAGATGTAACAAACCTCATTTTGCAGTCTTGATGTGACAACTTTTTCTGCAGCCAAATCAGTTTGTGCTGTCTCTGCACTATTTCTATAATGAGAAAGCTGAAAAATAGCAATATAAAAGTTAGATGGCTAAGGAGAAATAGAAAACTGCAATGAAATACAAACAGCAACTAAAATATGGAATTTTGGAAGCATAAACTCTGAAGAGAACGGATCTCAGATGAGATATAGTGGGAGTAATGGGGGTAATTAAGCTATAATGACTTTATTATTACCTGTGAGGAGATATGCTCTTTGTCTTGAGTAAGTCTAGATATTCTGTCTCTAAGAAGCTGTGCATCGTCTAATGATGACCCAAGGTCTAGTGAGATAGACGGACTTCTGACTGCCGAACCGCCTTGGTCACCTTGCTGCTATAGATGCCACAAACATAGATAAAACCATGTTAGCCACACACTACTATTAGGGACTTATTTTAAACCATTCAGTTTTCAGTGCCTCAAGTTGTAGAATRAGCTATCATTATATTGAATGCTAGAATTCTTGAAATGAAGGGATATTTATTATCTAACAGGTGTAAATACACATTACTTTTTGTTTGTAATATGCTGAAAAACTGTGTGCAATAACATTTTACAAAAGGAACACATTCTATCAATGAAAAAAATATTCATGACAAGTCTTTGACAACAATTAAGAAACAATACATATAAAAACACTATTAGCCTTCACAGAGCCAAAAGGATCAGGGCAAACAATGGATAGTGTTTTAATTTTTTTATTGACAGAGGTTTTGGTTGCTAATCAGCAGACAACTCATTTGTTAATAATTCATGACACCCTATTTCAATTCTTAAAGTTAAAATATAGGCAATTGTATTTTTATAAACATTGTTGTGTGGAGATTTTATAGCTTTATAGATTTTAAAAACAAACTGAAAGTCAGTTATAGTTCTACGTGGTTTTTCTTTCGTGACAATGGGTAAGATTCATGAGTGGTGTGTGAGTAAAATATGTATAATGAGAAAATAAAAGAAATTTGGACAACTCTGAATCCATTTGAAGTAATAAARCAAAAATGTAAAAGACGAAATACTTAGTTAATCTAAACGGCAAAAGAATCAATTAAAGAATGAAAGTTCCATTCGAATATTTGAGAAAGAGCACATGGTACTATAAGTTCATCAGGATATGAACACATTATAAAACTCTTTATAAAAATGCGTGAACGTACCTCAAACCTTCTTTGAACTGGTGAATTATTCCTGGAGCTGCTTTGACTACCAGATTTACGATATCCAACAATCATCGGAGGTGAATTTCTGTATAGTTGTCGTTCATTGCCCGATTCTCGAGTTAGTTCTCGAATGTCGAACCCAGAGTCCTCTAGATAAGTTAAATTTGGCTGTTGTTTCGATTCTACTAAACCTTGCCTTTGGATCTTTGGGAACATGTCAGATCGATCTGAGAATGAGGATGCCATCGCACCCGTTTATATTGGAAGAATCAATGAGTATTAAAAACTACTACAACGGTGAACTACACGACAGTTCTAATGGCAGAATAATATTTGGAGCGTCCGTTGCCTTGGAGACGATGTATACAGACAGCTGGTCCGATCTTGTATCGATCGCAAAAGCCGATCAATAGTTGGACGGTGAAATGTAGAAAAAGTTATTTTTTAATCTCGTTTAAGTTTTAATACTAGTAAATTTCAAATTAATTTTAAAATGCCTCAAACTACAGTATTTTTTACTCCAAAATATGAAATTGAAAAGAAAAAAAAGATAAAAAAATATGAATATCTCCTTCAATCGAAACACAAAGCCCCCACAAACAGCAAATTTAGGAAATCAAATAAGATTATATCTAATATTTCTTACCGTAAAACAAAAAATATAAAATTTCGGAAAAATATTTGACTTTGCTGGGTGCTCGCGTTCGGCGTTGAAAACTGTTGTCTGATTGGTTGATGCAAATTATCGCGCCTAAAGCCAATCAGGTGTCATGACATGTGCATTGATCGAACGCTAAGGACGCCGTACATACATTAACCAAGACTTAGCAGCGAACTTGCTTGAATTTACCTCAATTTTCACACTAAAACAGTAAGTTTCTCATTATTTTGTATTCCCTTAACCTTTGCTGCAAACTTAACCTGCTTTTTTACCAATTTCAGATAGAAAAATGGAGAGTCCTAACCCAAAAACAGTCCCAGAACTGATTCAATTCGTCGAAGGGACATTGCAAAACATGCAGGACAAGTTTCAATCCGCTGAAGATGCGATTGTCAAAAGGATAAACGACRCAGGAAAACGAATCGACGAGATAGAGAAAAGTTTAACAGATCTAATGGACCATTCAGGAGTTGGTGAACCCTTCGAAGAAGACCTTGAATCTGAAGACGACAAAGCAAGATGATGGCKAAAWGACACTTCGTCTGGCCGTTACTAAAAACAAACAAATCCAAAGGCGAACATTTTTGTGCTCAAAAGTAGATTTGTTCTGTATATCTTTTCATATTTTATGAGTTTTATATCGTTTTTTTTTTTACTTTTTATAGATATTTATTCGTGAATATTCTTAGTTTTTTTTTCTGGGCAGCTGTCAGAACAGGGGTAATATATTCAAAACAGCTTTTACTGAAACAACTTGAGATTTTTAATATAAGAGTGTTTTTTAATAGATGATTTAATAAATGAGTGAATGTATTTCCTTTGCCTGTTTACTGCATTTTAGTTTAGATWTAATAGGCTAGCAAATTATTAGGGTCTGAGCTTCACATTGATAAGAGAAGTTGAATAGGTTCTTGMATAGTTCACCGACTTTAATATATTCATAGTTTGAAGCTCACTATTTGCCGGCTAGCTGCCCCTGGGGTATCATGCAACACTTGCACAGCTGTAAAAGGAGGCTAGAAACTGAATGGATACATTMTTTCAGCCTTACCTTCAATGAATGGTGGCTCTTGATCGACTGGCATGCTTAGTAACTTGCTGCCMAGTACTACCTGGTTCATAAATCTGGTATGCAAAATATGGTATTAATGGTAGAGGTGTTGTACAACCCAGATGGATACATAAAATGTGTAGGCAAGACGTTTTACTCCCTTTGAAAAGGTGAGGGAGTATATACGTCCAGCAATTACCAAGATGATGTCAGCAACCTCACCCCCACCCCCTAAAAATGTCAGAGTTGAAAACAGTGTAGAATCTATAATAG